TCTTCATCGCGAGAAATACAAATTATATCGTCTTCATCCTCATAGATTTCGTCATCACCATCGTAATAGAAATTGTCCGAATCGTAATTGAAATCCGAATCATTTAAGTCATTGCGCTGAGTCACAGTCGTTGAATCGATTGACGATGTGGAATGACAGCGAACAACTGTAACACACGGTGTTACACTTTGGACCGGCTGAAGAGTATTATTGCCACAATTAATTGGAAATGTCGGTGGAAGTGGTTTTTCTTGCAATCTTTCGCTATTGTATAAAGCTGGGGCACCACATCGAAAATAACGTAGATGTTGCAATGCGCCATTTTTTGTTTCTAGAATCATTTTTTAATTATTTATAATTGTTTCTTCCGTAATACTTCCATAAAATATTGAATTAGATTCGACATACACTCACCGAAACATTTTACGATTTTTGCACGATAAATTGCATCTTCGTTCGGATTGAATTCTTCTCGTAAACGAACTGTCGAAGTATTGAATGATGGATTTTTTTCAAGATTTTTCGACCAAAAAACAATTTGGGTCTGATTTCGATTTATTCGATTATTCAATGTTTTTGCTAAATTCAACTTATAAATCCAATCAATTCGACCAACAACTGTTTGCTTTGCTTGCGTTAAATGAAAAACAGCAAAAACTTGATTCATTGTAATTTGAGAAGTATGAATTTAAACAAAAAATACTTATTATGCAAATACTCGGAGAAAAAAAATTAATGCCAATTTTATTGCTAATAATTTAAATATGAGACCTTCCGTCTGCAATGTTTGATCTTTAATGCCGATATACGCACAATGTCTTGGTGTGATGCTTTGTGTGTGGCACGAAAATTCTGTGCACCAGTAAACGGTATGTCAAAAAAAAGCCTACTATGCTCTAATTTAACAATTCACTATATACTGTGCGTTGGAATTCTTGGACGCTGCATTCAGTTCACATTTTACCACCTTTGAAGACACATCAACAGACAATTTGTTTCATTTGAATTTAATTTGAAAAAGTATTTAAGATGGAGAGTGACTCCGACAATGAGCAATGTTCGGGTTTAAACAAATATTTTTGCGTGAACTCAGAATCGAATCTGGTACATTGCAGAATTTTAGATTGCAAGCAAACGTTTAGAAATTGGCGAACGTACAATTTGAAACGCCACCTTCAATCGAAACATGCATCTCATTATCAACAAATGTTTCCCGCCAAAGTCGATGAAATAAAAGATCTTCAAATAAAAGCATTGGAAATGCAACTTACTGCCGTTGAACTGGTGACAATAAATGGACAACCGTTTTCATTATTGAACGCATCCGCAATAAAGGGTTTTTGTAAAAACAACATTGAACAATTACGAGAGAAGCGGTATGAGGTCAAGTTGTCACGTAAATTGATTGCAAAAGATATCGACAATATAAGTAAAGAGATCGTAGAAACATTGAAAAAAGAAATGAAAGACCGACCAATTTGCCTGATGTTGGATACATGCACAAAAGGAACACTTTCAGTATTGTCAATAAACGCTCAATACATGATCGATGACGAAATCATCGTTCGGTCTTTGGCCGTGATTGAGCTAACACAACGCCACACAGCTGCATTTATCGCCACCACGGTGAAAAATATTATCGAGACAACATTTGATGTTTCAATTCGTCAAGTCAAAGCCGTTGTCACAGACAATGCGAGTAATATGGTTCTAACACGAAAGTTATTGAATATTATGGCATTAGGTGAATCGATTGATGAATATGTTGATGTTTCGGAAGTTGAAAGTGATGAGGATGAAACGAATGGAAATCGTGAAGTCAATGGACTCAGTCCAGAAGATGAGCTTGAAATAGCCAACATCGTTAATAATAACATTGACTACGATTCCTTGGTGAAGAATGTGGCGGCTGAATTTTCATCCTATTATGGAACAGTCATAACCGTGAACCCAATAAGTTGTTCCACACATTTATACCAATTGGGGATTAGAGACACATTTGATATATGCGATGTGTCATCGATAATCAACACTGTGAACGATTTATGTAAATTGTTACGTACTCAAATTGTACAAATCGCATTGAAACAATTGGAAGTTAAGGTTATCAAACCACACATGAATAATAAAACGCGATGGAATTCAGAGTACATGATGGTAAGACTTTTTGATATAATATTTTGAAATTGTTTTTAGGACTTTCATTGTATGTGTTTTCAGCTCAAAGACTTTTTGCGCCTGAAGCCAAATTGGGAGTCCATTATGCAAATTGATGACGAGTTTCAAGTGATCGATGAAGATTTTTGGGAGAAAATTAAACAACTTGTTGATGTGCTAGAATTTCCATATCTTGCTACTAAAGCGATGGAACGTAGAAATTTTTGTTATACTGATTTATACTTGTGGTCGTTGCGAATTTCGGTAAAATTGGACCAAATTATTGTACAGTCACCACGATTCGCGTTTGCTTCAGTGCTCAAAGCAAAATTGAAAGAACGTGAAAAAAAATTGTTCGAAACTCCAATTTTCATTGCGGCATTGTATTTGGATCCACGTTTCAAATTTCAGTTGAATGCACATGAAATTTCTCTAGCTACTGCAACTATACAAAATCTGTATGTGCAAATAAAATGGAAGCCATCACCATCTCCAGCTGGATTGAATAGCATCGATCGTCAAATAGAGGCACTAATGCTTGGAAATCAACAACCACAGGAAAGTGAAGCACAACTTCGTACGGAACTTGCAATGGTCATGGCAAATTATCACAATACACGAAGCACAGATATCAACCAAAGTGCAATTAACTTTTGGAAAGTGAACAAACATATTTATCCACAGCTGTATGAAGTCACCAAAGTTATTTTCTCAATCGCCAGCTCGATTAGTGAGACTGAAAGATCATTTTCAGCATTTTCATACATTTACAATGTTCGCCGTATGAGTCTTGCTCCGAAAAATGTCGCAAACATTTTAATGGTTCG